TGAAGATACACTCAGCTTGTATCTGACACCTAGTGTGTTCGTAGCATTATAGTCAAGCAATGCAGTTTAGGTGGAAAGAGTTAATAAATATCATTACTACAAGCATAAGATCTGAGTGCAAGGGGAAGAGGGCAAGAAAACTGTGACACTAAGTTAAAATTACAGTTTGCACAGGTTAACAATGCTCTCTGAATTGTATATACTGTCTCCTTTTCCAAAACAACTATTTGTAAGACTTTTTCTGTTACAAGTAACCTAACACCTTTGGGGTTTCAGCTCCAGAAACATCAATTACTCCACCATTATTGTTGAAACTTTGTCAACATTGCCTAAAAAGCCTCATATTTTTTACGGGGATGGTGAAAGAGAATGGGGGAGGCAGGGGACATTTGTGTTATAATGGTTTTATAAAACATCTTTTTACTATAATACTTAACATCATCCACCTATTTGGAGTCACATATACAGTATCCAAAACATTTTGTAGTCCAATTAAGTTTTACAAGAAAGTCTGAAATACAACCAAAAGTTTAATGACTCTAAACAACTCAAGAGTCCTAATAGCAGCATTTAGATAACTGCAGTTATCAATATTTGGATTCTCTCTGCATCTGAGTACGTGTGTGTTCCCTGAATTTACTGTTTGCGAATGTAACTCTTAAAAATAGCTTTCTCTTTGGCATATGTACTTGTATATATGTGCTGAGTGGGTTGTATAAACATATAATCTATTTGCATGCTCTAGGACTATTAAAAGCTATATTAACCTGCCTGAATAATATAAAAAGGTACACATCACAATGCACATTGGAAATGCCAATTAGTTGTAAAATTCCTCCTAGCTATCCTATCTTTGAATGTGTACAGAGCTCAGAAGTAAGAGTTAAAAAGCATTACCTTTCTGGTCCCCACTCTTCCACCAGCCGGCTCTTGTATCATGTGGTAAGAGCTGTCTGAGCTCCTCTTCATGGTATTGGCACTGTGAAGTTTTATACTGTACTACTTATTTGTACACCACACATTGGTACCACTGAAACAGAGGAGGGCTGGGGCTTTGTTTGGGATTGGTTGGAATCAGCATGACATCAGCAGATGACTGGTTTTTCCAGTGTGAGACATTTCATAATTCATTATCTAATGGAAAGCCCTTCCTGGCTTCTGAGACACTACTGGGTGATGCACTGAGCCAGTGAAACCTCTGGCTAGGATTACTCTACCTTTTAGAAAAATATTGGAATCAAATAGATATGTCTCAATGAGTGTGTCCAACTTTCAACTTTTCTTTTACTACTCGCACACACGTCTCGTTATATTCAGGTTCAGTTTTATGTCTTTACATAAAACATCTGTTACTTCATGAAGTTGCTTCTATTTACAAAGTATTTTATTGTTTCTTTCAGGAAAGAAAATTAGTAGTGTTCTTTATATGGATTCTAATTTTATTTTTTTCAAATAAGCTATTTCATTGAGGAAAAAATTGGGAAAATCTGTATAATCATATGATGATGGTCTCCCCCCACCGCAACCAACTTACACTATTATTTTACATCTTGAAATTGAATGCCTGCTTCATAAATCAAGAACTTTGGAAATAGTCATTCTCTTTAAGTGAACTTCATAAGTATCCTTCCCAGGTCTTTAGAATCCATCCTAACTAACCAAACACACACACACAACAACAACAACAACAACAACAACAACAACAAAAACCTTCATGCATCATTCTTTTTTACCAGAACTTCAACTCCTATAATTTCTAAATTGTTACAAATATAACAGGAGATTAATGAAAAGAAGTGAACACTCCTTGAAACAGGGGTAAACCCAGTCTGGCTTTTTGGGGGTGGGGAGAGGTGTTGGCAAGTCTGGTAAATAACACAGGAGGAAGAAGACCTCTGACAAGAATGGTGAAGGGTTGTTTGAAGGAGTATAGCTGAAGCATAAGCCCAGTTCTCATGACAAGTTGGATAAAATGTGCAAAATTGGGAGCTAATGAGAGCCATATGACCAGATATGTTGTTTTGTATGCAGGATTTAACATGCATAAAATAAACTTTTCACTGTGCCCGCAAGCAAAATATAGAGGCTCTGGCCTCCTGATGTGTGGCTTAAGCAGGTTCCATTAGGACACTAGAAGTTTTCTGTGTAAGAGGGTCTCTCTTGGCTAGATACAGAGAAAGTGTGGGTGCTGAGCTGCATGGGGGTGGGGGGAAGGAGTATTCTAAGAACTGCATATGCAGAAATGAAGTAGGAAAAAAATCATTAAGTTGTAGAGGAAGAGAGTGAATCTGAGTGGCAAAGACAGAAATAGGATTAATGATGGTGAACTCCAAACCTGTTCCTCAGTTTAGCACTGTGTGAACAGAAACCCTTTATAAGAAAGGAACTTCTCCACCCTTCATGCTGAGAATTAGTGGAGTCAATGACCTTCAGGGCATCTAAACTCACCTCTGCCCCACACATGAACCCTAGTGTCCTGAAAACATCCCCTCCCCCCCACACACAAAGTTGTGTGTGTGTGTGTGTGTGTGTAGGTGATGGGGGCGGTGGTGCACAAAACAAACCCAGATCAGATCCCAGTTCCTCTGCTCACTCACCGTGTAAACTCAGGCCTCAGTGTTCCCATCTATAAAATGGGATCCATAATATGAACCTGTGGGGGTCAAGGGCAGCCGTCAGATAATAATAAGTGATACTATTTCTGAGAAGCCTGGTGGCTCTTTTTAAACATGGGTGTCACAGAAATCTGCAGCACTCTGACCAGAGGAGCCACAACACAAGTGTGACTCTGAAACTCCGCGGGCCATCTGATGCCACCGAGTGCCCACCTGCCAGACCAGCCTACCAGCCGCGCTGCAACCCCTCTGCAACCACCTGCACCACAGTGGCAATGCCTCCTCGCTCGGTGCAAATCAAGGTGGGGGTGGTGGAGGAAGCAGGCAGGTTAAAATAGCTTCTGTGGAATATTCTAGACTGGGAATCAGCTTTTCCCTGCGGAACTCAAGGGCCCGGGGCACAAGCTGGTCAGCCTAGTCCTGACCAGAATCTCCTTCTCCTTCCTTGGTTTGGTTTCTCTTTCACTTCCCCCTCCCCCGGAGCTTCCCCGCACCCCAGGCCCTTCGGGTCCCGGCTTCTCGGCCCTGCTACTGTACCTTGAGCAGCACCTGCTGGCAGCTTCCAGGGATCACGCCGGAACGCGGCCGCTGCTCGAGCCCAGCTCGCGGGATGCCTGGAGCCAGGGCCAAGCCGGTCTAAGCGGCAGCCTCTATTTTTACCCTGAGCACCAGCAAGGGCAACTTCTTTTAAGAGCAGCTCTTGATTTTTCCCCCCTTTTGGCAGCTAAAGAATTCAGGGAGGGGAAAAAAAATCACTGTTCAGTGAGTGCAGCTGGGAATCTCTGAACCCAGCCCTCACTGCCAGGGACTGGAACCACAGCAAATGTCAGGGAGCGGGACCTGCGGAGGGGCCGACTGGCTCCCCGCGGACAGAGGCGAGCAGGGAGCGCTCGCGCACCAGCTAACTGCCCCCTTCTGAGTGCAGAGCGCGGTCCTCCAGCGACTGCACTAGCAAAGTGGCCCGCTGCCACTGCGTTATTCACCTAGTGGAGGCGGCCTGATTTACTGGCGACTTCACAAACCCAACTCCACGCTGGAGCATTTGCATGGCTCTGTTCTCGCCTCGAGGAGCAGCCACTAGCGAACCCGGTGGAGCAGCTTGCTGCGAGAAGGAGCCGGGAGGGAAACTGTGGTACCTTATTTTACTGTAATTGCAAAAGGAACGATGTGCCAGAGATTTATATTTAGAAGTTGTATGTTTCTACTTTTATGTAAATGGAGCAATTAGGGCCTGTCTTGCTGCTGCTAACTCCAATGCGTGTGCATTGCTGGGGAGCTGGTGTTTTCAATCACAATTAGTGAGCTGGTCAAAAAACAAAGTTCGTTTAAGGATAAGAGCTCAATTGTGAGAATGGGGGAGAGGCCAGCGTTCGTGTGCCGGCCTGTGGCTTGCGGTGACACCTAGCTTAGGGCCATGGCCAACCCTATAGTGGTATTTACCTGTGGCAGCAGCTGTCCCTGTTCAAAGTTGGCATAGATGGGGAAGCAAGAATGTTCACTTTTCTTCTCAAGCAAACCGTCTGTCCTTCAGCTTTCATCCACGCTATTAATTGGTGTCTTTCCTCACTACTCCTTGAGCAAGGAGACAGGCCCAGAAAAGCGGGGCCGGGGGGAGGGGGTGGGGACATTTTTCAGGGCTCTATTATTTTAGCTGCTGCTCACAGATTGCTGTTATTCAGTCAAAAATACAAGCCAGGAGACGTGAACACCCCAAGCAGGTGACTGGGATGTTGTTCTCTGATTCAGCTGAAATGACACAAGGCTGGGGGTTCAGAGGCATGGACAAGAGCGCTGACGAGTCAGGGTGTTTTCGTTCCTTCCTATGAAAAAAATCTGTTTCCAAAAACGCATGATTTCTGGTTCATCCCGTCTGGGAAACCGAACATAAAACGTGACTATGCAGAGAAATCAAAAGGTGTTCCCAGCAGCTAATGTGTTATTCTGGGGCTCAGGCCGGAAAACCTGGCCTTGTTGGTGAGGGGTGACTCCCTCAAGAGGCAGCTCAGAATCCAGAGAACGTGGGCAGGATCCAGAGTACTATCTGCTACAGGGAGACTGCCAGAGTCTGTGATGAAGAAGGGTCTCATCAAATGGTTGACATTGAACATAGGATTGGCAAACACTGCCTGTTTCCTGGATAGCCACAGCCTGTACATAACTTGGGCTGAATGTTAGGTAGAAAGAGTTGGGACAAAGGAGAAGCAGTGTTTCACATTCAAAATTGAACTGGGAAGCTGTTCTGCTTTCAAGTTAAATCAATGAATGAATAGCTCTAAACAGAGAGAGAGAGGGAAACATTAAAAAGTCTCCTGAAATTCATTGAGAACAACAGGGTCAGAAATGGTTAATCTGAAACTTGACTCCTAAGCTTCACATTTCTTTCAGAACCACTGGAATATCCCACAAGGCCTTCTGCTATGTAAGAGCACTCTGTTTTTAGAGTATTTGGAAATGCTGTTTTCTGAACCAAGGGAACCCAGATACTAGAACTAAAACAACTGTGGAAAAGAGAAGAAGGAAAAAAACCCAGTAAGTAACCTATTACTCTTCATTCTACAGCAGTGGTTCTCAACTGGGGCGATTTTGCTCCCTGGGGGACATCTGGCCATGTTTGAAGACATTTTGGTTGTTACAGCTGGGAGGGAGGTTCTACTGATCATTAGTGGGTAGGGGCCAGGGATGCTGCTGAATATCCTACCATGCACAGGACAGCCCCCAACAACAAGAAATTATCTGGCCTACAGTGTTAATTGTTCTGCAGTTGAGATACCCTGATTTCATGTTATAATTGTAAAGTTCACCCAACCTTCTCCCTATCCATCTCCAAGAGGCCTTGGGAACCAAGGAAAACATTGCAACTCTACAAAATACTAATAATTCAAGTGATTCTGCTTCCTCTTGCATCTTATGTTCTCAGATTACTGGAGACTACAGATACAATGCTCCTCTTGGGCAACATCGTTGCTCCAACCAACTTTCACGTATGGCCTCAATACATTTTCCTGCTGGCTTTTTGTTCTAAACCAAAGCAGAATCTTGGTGGCCAGCAACAAAATGAGATGGGCTGGCCTACACCCAAGTTGTTAGGAGACAAGCAACTCATGCAAAAGAATAAATGAATAAAGGATTGAGTTGTTCATTTTAGCAATTCAGTATCAGATAAATCCATGCAAGAGAGAATTCCCTGAAGTAAAATTCACAAAAGTAAGATTGCCCTGCCTTTCTCCTAGAGCAAGCGAATATGTTGTAGCTTGATTTTATTTGTTTAATACCTTAGGGGAATGACATACAATCAATATCCAAAGAGATAAAACAGTGTTTTGCTAAATCCTAATGGCTGTTGCAAGCAACATTATATTCTCCAAACTTCCTTTATAAAAGGAAGTGGTGTGGCTCTTAAAGGAAGGCCATGCCCTTCCAGCCCTTCCAGGTGTTGCTCTCCTGTGAGGACTGGGGAAACTATTGTGAAGGATTCCACCTCATGGAAAATCATAAGAGTAATCAACAAGTATTGGTGAAATGCACAAAAGGGAAGTTGCCTGGATGAAACTAGCTTAGAACTGAAATCCTGTTGTCCAGACAGTGAGGGCTTACTTCCCTGGTTCATCACTTACCTCCTGAGTGACTTGGGTCCTCCAGAAAGGAAAGGGTAGGTCAGAGATCATTTTAAGATGAAGGGAGCCATGAGGGGAATGTCTTAGACACTCTGACGCCGTGTCATCTCTTCCAACTTGTGAATCACCGTCTCCTCAGGTAAATGGTCATTTTGGAACCAAAGGCCTCAATCAACTTTCAAATGATTCAGAAATACCTGGAGTTCTTCCCAAGAAGTAACCATGTGGTACATGTAAAAAAATTCAATATTGAGAGAAATACTCGTTTACAACCACTATAGAAAAACATACATTGAAGAAAACCCAGACTAACTCAACCTGAAGAAATATGCCCTCAACATTCTTCCTGACCAATATATATTTCAACATTGTTTATCATGACTCAGTTCTAACCCAATCAGGAAACATCTGCTTCAACAATTTATCTTCCTATTGCCCCAGAAGATTGTTGAAAAATACTCCCCAAGGAACACAGAACAGATTGTTGTAATCATTTTTCTCACCTGGATCCCCTTGGGTAATAAGTTCCATTGCTGACTTGAAGACATGGTGGTTTAGCACATAGATTCCATTGGACTGATAAGCGGGCAGCAATCTTGCTTTGCATCCAGTTTTGCCTGTCCACAAAGATCCCCCCACAGCCTGTTCCCAAATCGCTGCTTGGAGGGAAAAAGCCCCACAGAAAAGCCTGGGGGCAGTCCTGTGTGAATTTTTTTTTAAATCAGTGAATTGCTGCCTCCCTCGTGTCCTAATAGAGTCCAAAGGTTCTGCCCTCTGTGGGAGCAGCTCCAAGGCATGGTCTGAGTGCCGCTGTTCACGAGTCCTGTAGGCTCGCGTGGACACTGGCAGCAGCTCAGCTAGGTGAGCAAATATTTCCAGGTGGTCCACTCTAATTTTAGGAAGGTCAAGTTTGCAAAGGTGAAATAGTAAGTAGGACTTCTGTCACTTTATCAGATTGGAAAAGCAAACTGTAATTAAGCACAATATTCTTAGAGTTTAAAATGGAATCACTGAATTCTACAACCAGCTTTAAACTCTCAAAAAATAACTTATGGCTACAATCCCTCTTCTACTCATTGAGTTCCTCTTAAAAGATGGAAGAGTATAATGAACGAGGGAGGAGCCTCTATAGTAGAAGGAAAAAAACACTCCAGAAAACCTCTCTCCCAAAGGCCAGGGGTTCATTTGTGATCCCTTAATGAAACAGGGGCAGAAAGCCAACAAGGTAATTTTGGCCAACTCCAACATCACTTAACTATGAGCTGAGAATAATTAAAATGGTGCTCCCTGTAGAAAAGAGTTCACCCAATAAGTTTCCCAAATTTCAAGGAGCTTTTGTTTTATTAGATGCTGTTAGCTTCATGTTAGTCACAGGAAAAAAAAAAATGCCCACATACACACGCACAACTAAATGTAGTCAGTTTGCTCAGCTGCTGCTGACGTCACTGCTGCCCACTAGGAGTGAGTTACTGTCATAACCCCTCTTTTATTAATCATAGGCTGGAGGAAGCACAAAGTGGGTGACATCATTAGGCAAAGGACCGGCTAACTCATGCTCCAATTTACTCAGCTTTATTATAACATTTCTCGAGTGTCATATGAAAGTGATTACCATTTCACACTTTCCCCATCTGAGCAATCATCCCTAACCTTCAATTCAAATTCCCAGAGAGAAGCTTAGCTTTTCAGATGGAGGTGCATAAAGGCCAAATCTCACCAAGGGTCCTTGTCCCAAGAAGAAATGTCCTCCTCAGAACGCCTTCTTCCTGGGCTTGAAACAGAGGCAGTTTCTAGAACTGTAGGAAACTAAATAATTCTCCGTTGTCTCTGGCCCTGGCAGTGGCCTCTGACTGGGGAAGACCCTGATGGTCCAGACGGGTGCAGCAAGTATGGCCTCTCAGTGGCCAAGGGCACAGGCACCTCAGTGCTCTGAAGTATGAAAAATACCATTTGAAGATGAGGTAAAAGGTAGTGGTTGAATGTATGGGTCCTGCAGTCAGACTGCCTGGGTTCAAATTTAGGATTCACCATTTTCAAACTGCTGGGCAAATGACTTGGTTCCCCGATTAGTATAATAAATATGGATAAGAATAGCACCCCCTTCATAGATAGGATTGTTGTCAGGGATAGCTCAGTTAATTTTGTGAGCCACATAGAATGTGCTGGTACATAGTCACCGTTGTTTACTGGTATTATTTCTCTTCCTTTTTAAAAAAAGCTTTATTGGCTGACCTGAACTCCCTGAGTTCTACTTTGTAGAGCCTTGGAAAGATGAGCAAATGCTCTGTGACAAGCCACCAGGGCAGATTGGTACTGTGAAGACCCTACTATACATTTGGCTCTGTCCCTGGCTGGAAAGTTACAAGTCAGTCTACCCCTCTGTGGTCCAGTTTCCACACCTACTACTCTTTATCCCATGAGGAACTTCTGGAAACTAAAAAAGGTACGTAATCAAAACCAAAAGAAGACATTGGTTCAAGGATCCTCAAGAGCTCAGCATCGTGTTTCTGTTGTTTCTTTTTGAACAGACAAAATTATCAGAGTGTTCAGTAGCTACACACACACACACACACACACACCCCACACACAAAAGTAGCATCTCCACAATGTTGCATGCATCAGGAAAAGCAAATGTTTTTACCACAGGCTGGGCTATGCTTCATCCTCTTAAATTAGCATCTTGAGGTCTTTGCAGAAGCCATTTTATAGATGCCTACACTCATCCCCTTACTTGCATTCTCATCCTGAGGGTATTTTAAGGAGTCAAAATAAAGTTTACTTAAGCGTGTGTGAGAGACAGAATGATAGACCAAAAGAGAAGGCTGGGGCTTTGTAATATTTAGATAATGATGAAACTGAAACGGCTGATGCAGAGTGCAGTAATTATATAGGATACTTTATTATTTGGGTTCACCTTTGCTCAGTAGTGAATTATAAGCACTCTACTAGGTGAGAGGTTTGGCTTCCAAAATGAACAGCTGGTGCAGGATGGAACTACCAGACCATGTCACATGGCAAATAAAATAATAATACATAGAAACTTCAGGATCTCCTAATTGGAAGCTTCCTTTAGACAACAAAAGATGCCAGGATATCTGCTGCCCCCTAACTGGTACCATGAAGAAGAGCACATAACTTTTTAAGAAGCAAACTCTGATTCAGATACAGTTAGTTGGCGGCTGAGTCAACCTCCTAAGTTATAGTTGTGAATTTGGCCATTTCCGTGAACCTGTTTGTTGCAATTAAGGCAAAGCTATTGGGTAGAGTCCTGTTCTGTTTCTGTCTTTTCCTGATGGAGAGGCACCCCTGATTTGCAGCAGCTGCCCAGGTAGAACAGGTTGACCAAAGCACACATCACCAACACAGACTGTTAATCACGTGACTAGATAAAACTCTCACGGTGTCATTCAGATTTCCATATCCTTCTATGGAAATTTCTGAGAGACCCAGAAAAGGAGCGTAACCATGAGGGAAAGTGAATCCTGCAGACTTGAATATTCCAGACTTACCAGGTGATCCAGCTGTCCATCAGTGGGAAGAGGCTGAGGCGCCCCCTTCTGGTGCATCTGAATAGGAATAAACTCTGGTTAGAAAGAAATCCTGTAGCAACTGGGTACCTTCTCTGTGATTTGTCCACTTCCAATATCAAAATTGTTGCTTTTTAAATGACATTCATCCTAAGTTAAAAAAAAAAACATATTATTTGTATAAAATGTGGAAGACACAGAACAAAAAATGTAAATCACATATCATCATCCCTCCCAGAAATAATCATTATTAAAATTTCTGTGGGTGTGTAAAACAAAATTGCAATCCTACTGTAATATTGTCCTATATACTGATATTTTTCACCTATCAATGTATGTTGAGCAGTTTCAATGGTCAAATTATTTCTTGAAAATATTAATGACTGGGGAGTAACCTTTCAAATAGGTGTGTCTTTATTTTTAAACCAGTCCACAATTATTGCATATTGAAGTCATTTCCCAAATTTTGTAAGTGTAAGTATTGCATCCACCCTTTTATGTGTTTAAATGCATCTCTTATTATTTCCTTGAGATGAGTTCCTAGAAGTCGAATCACTGGATCTAAAAATGTGGACATATTTGTGCTGGACGCCGTGGGTCACGCCTGTAATCCCAGCACTTTGGGAGACCAAAGCAGGTGGATCACGTGAGGTCAGGAATTCGAGACCAGCCTAGCCAACATAGTGAAACCCCATCTCTACTAAAATTACAAAAATTAGCCAGGTGTGGTGGCACATGCCTGTAATCCCAGCTGCTCAGGAGGCTGAGGCATGAGAATCACTTGAACCCAGGAGGCAGAGGTTGAAGTGAGCCGAGATGGCACCCCTGCACTCCAGTCTGGGCGACACAGTAAGACTTCCTCTCAAAATAAATAAATAAATAAATAAAATTAAAATTAAATAAGACAAGTAAAAAATAAAAATGTGGACATATTTAAGATCTTTATATATATAAAACCAGGTGCCCTCCTGAAAGTTTTTGCCTGTTACATTCCAACCAATAGTGTAAGGGCATGACTCTTTCCCTGTGTTTTGGGATGGATGTTATTATCAAAGTTCTCTCCCACCCAGGCCAAATACGGTATATGCTTTGTTTTAATTTGAATTTTTAAATTATTATTTTAAATGGACATTTTGTTGTCCATTTGAACAACTTTCTTTTGAGTCACTGTTCATGTTCTTTGCCCATTGTTTCTTTTATTAATAAGAACCCTATTCTCATTCTTATATTTTAAATAAAATTTCATTGTATATATGTTTATATTATCTATAGTAAAGTATATTTTATTATTAATGAGAACTCTTTTTATATTAAGACTCCTACCCTACTGTCTGCTACATATTATTGTAATTTTTCCCCTGTTAGTTCCTGGCTCTTTAATTTTGTTTGTATTAATAGTGTTTCAGGCCAAAAGAGAGTTTACATTTTTATATGAACTCATCTAGGAATTGCTATCTTTTTGCTAAGGCTTCTCCATCAGGAAATCAAATTGATACTCACATATATTTTTCACTAAACATTTTTTGAAACTTTATTCTTTAATCCAACATATCTGGAATATATTTTGTCATACAGAACAAGGAAGAGCTATGACATTTTAGAAATTTTTCCAAAGATTGAATGAGCACTGTTTACGAACTTTTCACTTTGGAACGCCATTTTCATCACCTGTTGAATGTGTATAAATATGAACACTAATTTCATTCGATTGACCTGTAGTGTGTTGCTAAGCTTGTGATCCCATTCCATTCATATCGTTTCCCAGTTTTAATGTTGTTCTTTTAACTCTAGTTCTGTCCTATCCCAGGTCTTTTTATGTATGTGACTCAAGTCCACAACCCAACAGTTATCTTGATTAAAATATAATTTCTTAATGCCAGGGCTTTATAACAACTGTAGATAATTCTAGGTTTTTCTCTACCTGTAGTTACTCAAAGTTTGTCATTTAATGGTAGCGTATTATTGAACAGTGTGTTTGTTTGTTTGTTGAGACTGTGTCTCACTCTGTCACCCAGGCTGGAGTGAAGTGGCGCGATCTCGGCTCACTGCAACCTCCATCTCCTGGGTTCAAGCAATTCTCGTGCCTCAGCCTCCTGAGTAGCTGGGACTATAGGTATGCACCACCACACCTGGCTAACTTTTTGTATTTTTAGTAGAGACGGATTTTCACCATTTTGCCTGGGCTGGTCTCGAACTCAGGCAATCCGCCTGCCTTTGTTTCCTGAAGTGCTAGGATTACAGGCGTGAGCCACCGTGCCTGGCCTTAAACAGTGTTTTTAATTTAAAAAGCTTCTTCCTAATTCTAAAAATAATAGGTATTCATTTTTCAAATACAAACACCATCGAGGAAAAAAGAAAGGAAGGAAGAAAGAGAAAGAGGAGGGAGGTAAAGAGGAAACAAAGAAAGGGAGAGTAGGAGGAAGGAAAAAGAGGGAGGAGGGACAGAGGGCTCCTACAATTTAATCATCCAAAGAAAACCAGAAACAAAATTATGGTTTATGTCTTTCCAGAAATGGAAAGATCTTTCCTCATTTCAGGAACATTTTCTTCTATTGCATTTTTGACAAGTGTTTTTGTTTGTTTCTAAAATTTTCTTGAATGTGTAAATTGTTGATTTAAAGATTTAGTTTTTGAGCGTGCTCTTTAGCTTTCTTTGCTCTTTGTTTCGTTTCTTCTTGTTAGTTGAGGAATTTATTCATAAGCCCTATGTTGCTGTTTATTCTTTTTCTGTTAACTCATTTTTGAATGGGATAAGACAGCAGGTCTACTGTTTGCCCTAAAATAGCATAGATGTGTTCTCATCTATCCTCCTTTCTACTTCTCTGAACACCACATCTTATCTAATGGTTGGGTGCTGATGGCCTCTGGGGCCTAGGACAAGAGCTGAGGTCATGGGTTGGAACTTTCTGTTGACCCTGCAGCCAGGTCCTGTCTTGCCAAGTTAGGAGCGTGTCCCTTCTGTTGGAGGAATATGCTTCAGGTCTCAACCTTTTCCCTAGTTTTGGAATGGACTGGGTTAGAAAGATGTTGGAGTTTGCAGCCTTTTTCTTCTGTACCGCTGCATGCGTTTAATTCCTCATCGTGTCTCAAGCTTACAGCTCTCGCTCCTCATTTCCTTTTCTTACCTGTGACAAAGCCTCTGTTCCTCCATGTAAGCTTATGCCACCATTAACAAAACTTAGAGAAAGAAAACTAAAATCACCCATGCACTCCAGGCTTGGCAGATGCTCACACCTGACTCATTCTTTTGTTTTCGGGTCCTTCCCCCAACGACTGCCACAGCTGTGTATTGGCTGGCTGCTTCCCGGTCCCTAGTTGGACCCTGCTTCTCTGCAGTCCCTTGCATACAGACTCTCTCTGTGAGACACATTCTTCTCCTCTTGGGCAGGACATAAAACAGCCTCAGCCTGCCTTCCCTCCCATGTAGACCCTATTAGGTCCACAGGAAACTCATGTATTTCTAGCCCACTATTGATAGGAATGTGGTTTCTTAATAAACATAGCCCCTTCCTCTTTTTATCCTTTACCTTGTCTTAGACCAATTTACATTTATTCAAGCATGAGTTAGGCATCAGTGTGCAGGGTCCCTCAACTGCTGTTGAAGGTGCTGTTGAAGCCTATGTTAGTTATCTTCCCTGGAGTTGAGGAAGATTAATTAACCCTGCCCTGTAGGGAGAGCTGGGACTCACACACAACTGGCAGGTGCTTCTTCTGAAGGCATCTCCCAAAATTCATACTCCCCCCATCCCCCTGCCTTGCTCTCCACTCTCTCAAACTTTTATATTCTCAACATCTCTCCAGAGTCTTAAAATAATGGAACCTTTCTCAGATATCTACTTTAAGGATTTTTTTGCAGTGGTCTCTATCCCCTTCACTCTGGTATCTGATAGCTATCTGGTATTTTGGCCCCTGGGTTAGAATTTCAATTTTAAAACATTATACTAGTTTTAAAACACTAAATGTTCGTCTTCTATTATTGCTTGAGTGAGAAATAAGCCTTTATTGATTTTGAGGCATCATCATTTTGGCATCTATTTCTTCTAGCAACCATTACCTTCAAGATAGAGAAGAGCAGAAGATGAGAAATTGGGAACTTTCATATTTACGAGGTGAGTGGAGGAAGAGGAGCCTGTGAGGAGCTTTGAGGAGTCAGATGTGTAGGAGAAAAACACGTAGGGAACATTGTCAAGGAAGTCAAGAAAAGTGACAGTTTGAAAATGTCAGATGACACGATGTGGTCAAGTAAGACACTGACAGAAAGGCCCAATAGATCTGGCAATATTCTAATCAGTGACAGTGCTAGCCTGAGCAGATCAGCTTTGTTACTTGGGGACAGATTTTAGTGGGAAGAGGAGGGGATGAGAAGAATAAGGAGATGTACTCTGTCAAACGTTGTGAAGAAGAAATTGAGTAATGACTAGAGAAGGAGACACTGAGGATTGAGAGAAAGCCCTTTCAAATTTTAAGATAGAGATTTAAGCTTCTCTTCTGATAGAAGTGAGCTGCTAAAGGTAAATAACTTTGCAATATGAGAGAAGACAGAGAAACAAATTTCCTCCTGAAGTAAGAAATGATGGATTGATTTCAAAATAGACACATGTTCACACCACTCCTTACCACCTCCATCATCGTCCCTCGGGCCAACGTGCCATTCTTATTGATCTAAATATACCACCACACCTGAATAATTGCAACAGCCTCCTAACAAATCTCCCTATTCCCATCCTTGCCCCTGTAGACTATTGGGAATCCAACACTCCAAATGACCCTTTCAAAAATGCAAGGCAGATGAGGTCTCTCCTTTGCTCCTATCCTCCCGTGGCTTCTCCACTCACTCACTGTTGTGGCCAGAGAGAAGCTACGTGACCTGGCCACATCCCCGATCATGTCTTCTCTGTTTCTCCTTGGTCTCTGTCTTCTTCACATGTGATCCCCCTTGCTTTCCTTCCAACAGAATGAGCTTGTGCATGTCCCAAGCCTTTGTGCTTGACATCTTCTCTGCCAGGAATTTCGTCATTTTCCATCAGACACCCTCGCAGCTCACTCCCTGACTTTCTTGTTATTTGTTTCCAGATCACTGAAGCCTTTTTGGACCACTCAATATAAAATAGCAACGGACTCCACCCTGGTACACCCTAACACCCAGCCTGTTTCATTTTTCTCTGTTATATTTATCACCATCTGAAGTATTTGTTTATTGTCTATGTGACAACACTAGAATGAGGGTAGAGACATTGTTTTGTTAACAGCTAAATCTTGGCACCTAAAACTGTCTGGCATATAGTACTTGCTCAGTAAATATTTTTTGGCTGATGAATTAATCCTAAGCATAGGTGGTAGGATTAGCCTTAAATTAAACAAGAATAAAAAAATAAAGGATGGGCATAGAGAGACATGATGATAACTGACAGAGAAGGGAATTAAGAGAATTTTCATCTCATTGATTTTGCAGTAAAAAAAAAAGGTAAGCTCATCTGCTGAGAGAGATGTCAAAGCTGGTGGAGGTGGTGGAGTGGAAGGTTTGAAAAGATAGGTGAAATGTTGTAACAGTGGCAGAACCAGATAGGAGATCAGGGGGATTCTGAACACCTCCAGGCATTCTGGAAGACATTGAGACTGAATGCACTGAAGTTTCAGGAACACCAAATCACAGAGTTGTTCTGTCTTACCCAGAAGTGTTCTTCACTGTAAGGTGTAGAAGAGAGAAGGTCAATTGTCTAGATATAGCGCTGCTGTCCAGTAGAACTTTCTGCAATCGTGAAAAGATTCTACAATCTGTACCGTGCAATCGAGTAGCCACTGGCTATGTGTGCTTATTGAACATTTGGAATGTAGCTATTGTGACAGGCTGCACACTACACAGCGCACGTCGGGCGATCCAGACTCAGGTTCTGGCAGAGCAGGAGCTGAGAAAGGACAACAAAGAATGGGAGTAAGAGGAAATGTCAGTAAAGAAACTGTGTGGTGCCCTCAGGAATCTGAACCAGGTGAAGAAAGATGTGAAGCCAGAAAGCTACTGATGGTTTGTGAAAAATAGCATCATTCAGGAATCACAGATATCGATGATGTGAAATGCAGGTATGTTGAGAGAGAGTGAGATGGGCATTGGGTCTCAGAAAATGAAATGCTGAAGATTAAGATTTCAAAGGACAAACCATTGTGAATACTAAAACAGCCCAGGGCATGGGCATGGGATATGTTTCTTATGTGGAGTGGTTGTGAAAGTCTTTGGTGTTAAGGGATTCAAAGGTCTGTGAGAGAGGGTTGGCTGAATAAAAAACCTGGGGTAGATGTCTGGCACAGAGATGTATAATGTGACAGCCACAGCCTCAAGGCTGTTTTTATATGAAGGTGGAAATACGATGAAGATGATGTTCTGTTAGTTATCATTGATCAAGCACTCATTTCTGCTAGGCATGGAGCAAAGTGCTTGATATATATGTAATACCCCTTCACCCTTCAAATAACATTTTGAAATAGGTTTTCTTATTATTGCCAATTACAGATGAAGCCACTGAGGCTTGGAAAGACCGGATAACTTGTCCAAGGATATACCCTGAAGGTGTGATGGAGCTAGGATTTCAATCCAGGCAGCTTGGCATGAAAGCTCATGCTGACCGGGTGCAGTGGTTCATGCCCGTAATCCCAGCACTTTGGGATGCCCAAGACAGGTGGATCACTTGAAGTCAGGAGTTCGAAACTAGCCTGGCCTACATGGTGAAACCCCATCTCTACTAAAAATACAAAAAATTAGCTGGGCGTAGTGGTGCTACTGGGTAGTACCAGCTACTCTGGAGGCTGAGGCAGGAGAATCACTTGAACCTGAGAGGCAGAGGTTGCAGTGAGCCGAGATTGCACCACTGCACTCCAGCCTCGGCAACAGAGTGAGACTCTGTAACAAAAAAAATTAAAAAAAGACAAGAAAGCTCATGCTGTCCAGCACTAAGCTCCATTACTTTCTTCTTTTTTCTTTATGTCTTTCATGTTCTCATCTGAGCCTCCATACTTGCAGCAGCAGTGGTCAGCAGTAAGAGTCCTTAGTGGCTAGCACCCACCCCCATCCTCATCCATGTCTCCCAGATCAAGGAGCTGCAGGAAAACATGCATGCTTGATAGGAGGTGGAATGTCCGTGGAGGACACCATGTCAGAGAAGTTAGCTGGTGGGCAAGCTTAGAGTGGAAACTGAGAGTTATGGCAGCGGATTACAATGGAACAAGTGAGAAAGTAGGAAGGGGTGCAGTGGGAGGAAGAAGGTGGGGATACGGAACCCACTGGATGAGATTCCTGGAAAGGAGAGTCCTTGGAAGACTTTCATTTGGGATGGTGCAAAAGGCTGACAAGCTAATATTAATTGACCTTAAACTTTCATACTTAAAATATAATATGTATGGCATGTACAATACTCATATCCCATGCCAGGAGAAACATTTAAGTGTAATGCTTACCTATATTAACAAATATTAGAATGGCACTAAACAGGAAGCATTTTTAAATTTAGGAGTGCTTGGTTAGCATAGTAGCATTCAACCGGTTCTTGCTACACTTGCTTCCGTGAGAGTATCACACAAGATAAAAACTTCCAGAAGCACTGAGATAAGAGTGGGGATGAGCCTTAGTCTACATACACAGGTGTTCAGGATAGGTAATTTACTTTATTTTTCTGTGATTGCATTAAATTCCTACACTGAGCCTTCAATTTGCCATATGCTAGTAAATAAGCCTCACTCTATTTGAAGTCCTCACATTTTTTTCTGTACCTAAATTCAGGAATCAGGGAGGGTGGGTGGAGTAGAGCAGAGGGATGAGAGAGCTTGTCTAGTTTTTTCAGTCTTGGGCTAGAGAGGGTAACATGTGACTTAGCGCCTATCTTACCTGTGTCCGTGCAGAACCCTTCTTCCTTCCTGTTCTAGGCAGATCAGAGCTAACTTGTTCCTCATTGTTGATTGTGAGGCCCTTTATTATAATGTTTTTCAAGTTCTGGTCAGTATAATAAGGCAAAAAATAAAAATAATGAGCAAAACGCAACAAAGCGGTGACAAAATTATCTTTATTTCTTAGTAGACGGTGTGAGTGTGCTACAGGTATAATTTTTCAGTGCACAAATTCATATGCAAAACACATGACATTTCTTTAGTTCTGAAATCAACACAAATCAGTGGGAAGTCAAATCTCTCTTATGGTTTTTTACCCTCCCCTCATTCTAAAGTTTCCTGGTCTTGACAAAGGGAAGTTCCTCTGTTCATAGGTCCCCACTGGCTAATGCTGGGGTGCCAGTGCTCTCCGAGAGGCCCCACAAGGACTGAGACCTTTATGCTCTCCTAGGTACTGCCCAGCTGCCTGCAAATCTCCACTGCTCCTGTGAGGGTTTTGCCAGCCTCCCACCCACCTCTTCCTCTCCTCCCTTGGCCATGTCCAGTCCATTTTCCTTTCTGCACTGCATGTGCCAGATACCCACCACAGCCTGTTCCAAATTTAGTAAAAGTCTGCCCTGCAGAAGCATCTGAGGCGAAGATACACAAAGCCCTGGCTTTCTACCTTTCATACAGGAAAAAGGACAATACAAAAGATAAACACAAACCAATATTAAAACAAATTGTATTCACCATTGTGTGACCACAACGAACCCTAACTACGTTAATGTGCAAGCTTACGTAAGAGTTCAGCCAGATAACAGAACACAAATATTTTAAAAATAATAACATTTTATAGGACAAAATAATATACAATGCCTAGAAGTTATTTTAGAAGATAGTTGTTTCTCTACTCTCCATTTTACAGATGAAAGAAAAAGTGCATAAACAGAGTGACTGGTCCAGTTTTACACACCTGTACGGTGGCAGAGCTAGACTACAAACCCAAGTCTATCCAGTTCCAAACTCCATGCGTTCAATCACTATAGCATACTGTCATAATAAAGTGATATATTCCAGTATTATGTTATAGTGATTGGGTGATATATGGAGTTATGGAGTGCTATGTATCTATCTCTCTCCTGCATTTGCTGAGCATGGACTACTTGCCAGGCACTTTTCTAAAAACTCTTCAAACATGGTATCTTTTAATCCTACAGTATCCACTCACATAGGCGTTATTAATCCATTTAGCACC